GCGATGGGGAAACTGAGCCCTGTCACCACAGGCAGCACAAAGGGGCACAGCGGGGGGCAGCCCCAACCCCCTGCAGCGGGGGCCTCTCCCACCATTTGCCCCGTTCACACTCCTGGCAGTGAGGAGACCGTCTCCCTTCCCCCCGACTAGGCCCAGCAGTAGGGCCAAGACCCCAAAGCAGGGGCAGGGGAGCAGGGAGCGCTGGACCTGGCCCATCCCCTGAGCACAGACAGCGCCTGCAGCCCCAGCCCCCAGCTCTGCTCTGCAGGGAGAGGCTGGGAATCTGCCAACTGCCCACGCCAACCGGCCACGCCAACCGGCCAGGTTTCCATGCCAGGCTGTTACCGCGCCCTGGGCTGCAGGACTGCCCCCTGCCACACTCCAAAGGAAGAGAGCCCTCCAGCCATCTGCCTGTCGGGGCTACGGATCACGTCACCCGCTGCTACAGTGCAGCTCCCTCTGGGGCGAAGCACAGCAGCTGGGAAATCTTGCCCCGCAATATCGCCCCAAGGTAGAGGGCAGCTGGCGAAGAAGAGTCTAGGGTCTGTGTGCGGCTGCTCGGGGCCGTGCCGGGAGGCTGGCTGTAAGCGCCCCCACAAGGGCATTTGGCCCAGCGCTTGCAAACAAACCCCAGACCAGCATAGGATCCCTGATGAGCTCGAAGGATCAGGATCTTGGGTTTACACCTCATCTCGCCCGGAGGGACGCGCCTTCTATTGACCCCTCCACCCGCCCAGCGCCGCACTAGGGTCAGCAGTGGCCGGGAGGGGGAGCGCCCCCTACGGAGCCCCCCGCTCCCTGCAGCACTATGGATTTGCTGTAAAGGTCTCTCATCCAGGCACTGTCCTGGGCGGTCCATACTGGAATGTCAGCCCCAGTGCTGCCCCACCCCGCTCTGGGGGAGCTCAGATTCGGAGCGAATATAGGCCAAGGCTCAGACAGCTGCAGGTCAGGCATCCTGGAGCTTGGGGGCAGGAGCTCTGTCCGCACAGGATACACCGGCTGGTTCCTGCTTCCGCTGCCTGGAGCAAGCTGGCGGGTTTTGCATGGACCATATGGCGAACTGGCCTGTCCCGGGCGTGCCCTGCCAAAGCCCAGCAGAGGAAGAAGCTTAGAGCAGAAACCCAAACCTCAGGCAGCCAGAGCTCCGGCTCGGGGGCAAGGGACCAACGTGGGCAAATCAGCGCCGGTTCTGCACTGCCCGGGCACATGCTACACTGGGCGCTGCCCCTGGCGAGCACCACTCTGTGTCATGCACAGCACAGATACTGCAGCAGGGCAAGCTGCCCCCCAGCCCCTGAGGCTGCTCTAACTTACCCAGGGCCAGGCCGGACCCAGACAGCTCCACAACCACAGCTCTTCCTGAGTCCTTCATGCTGTAGTATCTGAGCACGTCCCACCCGTTGATGAATTAACCCACCAACCCTCTGGGCGGCACGGCAAGGCTGTTATCCCCACTGTACACGGGGGGGAAACTGAGGCACGGAGAGGCCAGGCGACATGCCCAAGGTGACACAGGAAGTTTGTGGCAGAGCAGGGAACTGAACCCAGGTTCCCGAGTCCTAGACCATCACTCTAACCACTGGTGCATCCGTCTTCTCTCTCCCACAGTGTGGGGCTGGGGGGGGATCTGGTTCTCCAGTGCCCTGCACCTTGTGTCCTCATTTGCACCAGTGCCAAGTGGGCATGTTGCCCCCAAGTGGGGATGGCAACACTTGGCACTGGCTTTGCCCAGGTGACCCGAGGTGCAGGGCACTGGAGAACCAGGCCAGGGTAGCCCAAAGCGGCTTCAAGCCCCCATTGCCCTCACCTCTTTCCAGTCCTGCCCCACTGCAGCACTGACCCAGCTCTTCCCGATGTCTGTGAGCCTCGATCCACGTGGGCGTGGGAACCATCATCCCCACAGCTAATAACGTGTTGGATTATCAGACCAGCCTGAAGCTAATCCTCTCTCCAGCCCGGGGTCGGGTCACCCGCTGATGGTGCGTGACCAGCACGATCAGTCTGCTGGTGTCACACGCGCACACCCGTGCAGGGGTGTTTGAGGTGAGCTTGCAGGGGCAGCCGCCTGGCCCAGACCAGCTCAGCTTTTTCCGCGGGGTTCCCTCGCTGGCTCCTCCCCCCCAAGGGAGCTGCTAGTAACTTTTCTCCATCCCCAGGGGGCACATTCTGAACTCGCTGGATCCTCCGAGCAGTGCATAGTCACTGCATATTCAGTCTGCTGAGGCTCTTGCTAGCTCTTGATACATCACTTTTGTATCACACTCTAGCCCAGGGCTAGGATTTCCAGGGGACCGTAGAGAGGAATCATACGGTGCATTTGACTGGACCCAATGTGAAATATGGCAAGTCTTGACCAAATGGAACTGAATTGATCGGAGGCAGGGGGTGGGACCCTGCTGTGATATTAAATACACAAGCACAAAATTGCTTCTGTGAATAAAAGTCTCCTAGTTTTAGGGATTTCCATAAACCTGACAACTGTGGCAGCAGCCAGAACTGATCCCTTTCTAATTTTCCTCAGTCGGATTGGACTTCCCATCTTTAAAAGGTGTCTTTTTGTCTCTAACCACCTCTTTTACTCTGTTGCTCAGCCATAATGGCCTTTTGGGGGGCCCTCTTATTGGTTTTTTTTTTAATCTGAGGCCTACATTTAGTTTGAGCCTCTATTATGGTGTTTTAAATAATTTCCATGCAGCTTGCAGGCATTTCACTCTTGTGACGGTTCCTTTTCATTTCCGTTTAACTGGCCTCCTCATTTTTGTGGAGCTCCCCGTTCTGCAGGGAAATGCTCCGTGGGGGGGGGGGGGTTACTTTGGTATTTCTTCCCCCCGCCCCAAGGATGTTACCTTATGGTCGGCTCTAGTCACCTCTTGTAGCAAATCCTGTTCGCCACCTGGGACTAAAGCAAGAGTTGCCTCTCCCCGGGTGGGTTCTGGGACTAGCTGCTCCAAGAAGCAGTCATTAACGGTGTCTAGAAATGTATCTCTGCACCCCGTCCTGGGGTGACATGTCCCCAGTCAGTATGGGGATAGATGAAATCCCCCGGTATTACTGGGTTTTCTATTTTGTAGCCTCTCTAATCTCCTTGAGCATTTCACAATCACCAGCACCTTCTGTGACAATGCGGTTCTGGCGGAACCCAACTGAGAGTGCCAACTCAGGACAAATTGCTCAAACAGGGCAGTTACAGCCCAAGGCTGGGGTTTTTCCACCTCTAAGGCAAACCAAACCAGTCAGACTAAGAGGACTTCGGTCTCACCCCACTGGCTAACCACAAGTCTCACAAGCAATTCCCTTAGACTCTCCAGTTTCCCAGTATCACCACCAGCGCCACTCGTTATGGGGACAAATGGTTATGAAAACCAATACCCAAGTAAAAGAAAAAGGTTCTTCTGATCCCAAAGGACCAAGCCCCAGACCCAGGTCAATATACAAATCAGATCTTACCCACAAATCACGCTGTTGCCAATCCTTTAGAATCTAAAATCTAAAGGTTTATTCATAAAAGGAAAAAGATAGAGATGAGAGTTAGAATTGGTTAAATGGAATCAATTACATACAGTAATGGCAAAGTTCTTGGTTCAGGCTTGCAGCAGCGATAGAATAAACTGCAGGTTCAAATCAAGTCTCTGGAACATCCCCAGCTGGGATGGGTCCTCAGTCCTTTGTTCAGAGCTTCAGCTTGTAGCAAAGTTCCTCCAGAGGTAAGAAGCAGGATTGAAGACAAGATGGAGATGAGGCATCAGCCTTATATAGTCTTTTCCAGGTGTAAGAACACCTCTTTGTTCTTACTGTGAAAAATTACAGCAAAATGGAGTCTGGAGTCACATGGGCAAGTTCCTGCATACTTTGCTGAGTCTCAAGGCATATCTG